AATTTAAGTCCCACAAAAAAAAGTTAAAAAAAAAAAAAAAAAAAAAGTCAAACCACAACAACCCACTTTCACTCCCAGCATATAAATGCTTTGAGTGTCACAGCAACACATTCACAATTACTCAATTAGTATACATGAATTAATGCTTCACTAAATGCAAGTTAAAGACTTCAGTGTTACAAGTATTTTATATATGAAGCTTTAAGGTCTTGTAAAGCATAAAATTTTTCATTAAAATAGCCTTTTATTTTGGTGTTCATGAGGCTTTCTAACAACTATATTCCTCAGAGCAGAAATAACGACAATACACTTCGATATTGTAAAGTATGTTAAAACAAATGAGCAAACAAAGGTTAAACTATCTTTGAACCACTGGAATATTGGAAATCACAGCTTAGGTTTAAGCATAACGAAATATTCAACCACTTGCACCTTGCTGATTCATCAAATAAAGCACAATATTTTGTTAAAACATAACATGAGTGTCTCTAACCCTCGAAGTATACATTCTTCTTTACTTCAATTTACATGCAGAGAAAAAGGTGCGATCCTCAAAAAAGGTGCCATGCATACACATGTAAAAGTTTTCAATAATTAAAAGTTGACTGACTTAAACAATAGTAATAATTATTCAAAACCATCAAAGAGCATTTCATTGGTCTGGTTTTACCCACTCCTGCTGTTAGAGACCACAACTATTGTTTTAAATCTTCAGTTCACTTGTGTTGCTATTATTTATACTTGATTTATGTGTTTCTGCTATCTTTGTTATTTTTAGCTGATGGAATTTACTTTATTTCTTCACCTCAATATCTTAAGGGCAACAGAAGCAATACAGACTGGAAAGAGCAGCTTCGTTGTTAAAAACGTGGTCTTCCTTTTGTAAGCCCGAGATTTTATTTTATTTCCAAACACACATGAACATTATGCTGACAATTACTAATTTTAATATATTAAAATCAGTGTAACTACACTCATAGTTAATGTTCTGTCCCGTAAGGTCTGAGGAATCATCCTCAAATATTTTGCATGAGTGACAAAAATGAGTGTTTGAAATTAGTTCTATGAATTAATTGAAAAGGTAAAAAAGCTTTTAATCTGGCAAACCCACATTATAGAATGCAATATGCCACTAAGCAATCATCCAGACCCTAAGAAAAATTGTCTTTTCGCAGCACCATATGATATAAATCATCTTTGTTAGCCAGAATGAATTCCCAATCAAAATTTGGTGCTCATTCTCATCTTCTCATATCTGGACCACAAGCTCCTATATAAACTTTTTCATGGCTCCTTCAGGAAGTATGTGACCATGATGGGAAGGTCACAAACTGTTTTTCCACCCATGTTCAAGTGAAAGGCTTTTTAAAAATTTCCTCAGACTGTTAGAGAAGTGCTTGAATCTGGCACCCTCCCTCAGCCAGGAGAAACACTTAATTTCTTGCAGGATTGCTTAAGTTGCAAAAAGGTTCCCTGAGAGAAATAGTTTGTTATTACAAAAGACAGTTATTTCCATAAGAGCAATCACACACAGGGGGTTAGCTATTGCAAGGCTTAGATTGTATCTGCCCATTTCCTATTGAAAAGAAAAATAAAACAAAACACTCAAACCTTTTGCTGCTTCTATGGATTAAACATGCAGAATTTTTGTTTTTCAATTCACTAGAGCTTTTTTCTGGGGTAGAAGCTTTTCTCCCCAACACTTTGCTGTATGTAGAGTGTGACATATATTCTAACTCCCATCCGACCATGCAGACTTAGGGGCAAATATCAAAATGTATTTAGATATGTAATGATGAAGAGCAGTGTCAGCTTAGATTTGCAAAAAGTGTAAGGCTATGCACCAAAGCCCTATGGAAAGCAAAAGGGAGAGACACCAAATTCACTGATAGCTTTGGGTAAACAGCAGTAGTTCACAATCTGCATCTCAAAAATCTAAATCTCTCCAAATTTGGAAATTAGTGTCTAAATTCTAATATGTCATACCTAAAACCTGAGCACTGATTTTAGATGCAGAAACACAGCCCCTAAAAATCATCTCAGGCAAGGATGACCAGGAATCACATGCAGACCTCTTACTGTGCAGTTCTGTGTAAGACTCCCCTGTTCTTTTCTTTGTTATCATTTACTCATCTTCCTCTACTGAAATAGACATTTAGCATCCTAGCATTATTTCAAATTCAGCCACAACAGAAAAAGAAACACGTGCACAGGACAAATGCCAAGAATCGGATATAATCACCTCAAAAGTAGAAGATCACTAAGGCACAGAAAAGCTGAAGCTTTGCAGGCTTGGACAGCCCCAAAGTAACAGGACACCAGCAACACAAACCAACCTATGTCTTACAATAGTCAACTTTTTTGTGCCAGAATCAGCAGTTATATCATAAATAAAATAATTAAAAATCCTGTTCTTTATTACTATCTTTTCTCATCCCTCTTAAAATCAAAAAATGCAAGGTACAGATTATTTCTCCAAGAAGCCCCACCCACCTGCCATCACAGTTGTTCTTTACAAGGTATGTGGGAAAAAATAAATGATATCCTGTTCAAATTCTCATGATTAAGTGTTTCTCAGAGATGAGTCATAAGTCATAGTGCACATCTAGTGTACAGTTTAGTTAATTAGCATGACATATACTTATTTTAATCACAATACTGGAACTATACAATGCCAAAAAAGGTGCAAGGTTTTTCTAAAACAATGCTAGGAAAATACAGAGGGAGAAAAATCAAGAGCAATCTGAAATTTTATTGCCAGCGTCCTTTTTATGCTTTATTGTTGCAGCCTAAGGAGTGTCATATTGGTGCAATCAGAGCCAAAGAGCTGCAAAATCCTGCTGTGCCATTTCTAAGACCAATTTCACCTCCACCCTCTCCAAAAAGGAAAGCCACAATTAAATCCATGGACAGTGCTAGATAATATATATTTATTTATTTAAAGTTCTGTCACAACAGCCCTGAACTGATCTTTCTGAAGTCAGTGTCACTGGTCACCAGGTGAATACATACCAGTGATGCCAATACTTACACTATAGTCTATTGCTTGAAAACTGGTTTAAAGTGTCGCTGTTATGACAATTAAATTGCCTTAGTGTAGCAATCCATCTCCTAATTCAACAGTGTCATCATTACCAATCTATTAACGTCTCTCTAACAGACGTTCACTAAAATAAAAATTTGTAACAATAAAAATTTTAAACTCTTTAGCTCACAAGCTAAAACATTAATTCTCAGAAATGATGCAACAATGGTCCCCTCCAAAAACACAACCTGGCCTCCATGAATAGACAACAGAAACCTACTAGACATACTTTAAAATTTGATCCTCATCAAAAGATTATACTGACTTCTTGCACTACTAGTTTTAAATTAGGGAAATGTTTGCAAGAGCTGGGTATCTCACACTCACATCAACTTCTTTAAGCCTCTTCCTTACGTTACACATATGTATACCACACGCATATTTACAGTAGACTGTTCACAGCATACATAGGCACAAGCATGCACAACTGTGTCACCATATTTTCTGTTCAGAAAAACAAATGCTACCAGCAACACTGAGACATTAGCAATAGAATTACTTGGAAAATACAGCACTGTGGTGGGTCCAGTTAAGCTGCA